AATCAGCTTTTTAATATAGCTTTTGATTTACTGTGTTCACGTAAAGATTTCCAGTTTTTAAAACATATATGCTGGTGCACAAGAGCAGCATTTAAGATCAGAACTGGACTATTAAAGTTTCCCATTTTTCAAACAATAAAAGTAAGCTGAAATTCTGAAAAGGCTGAGTGAAGTCCTTTACTAGAGGAGAGAGAAAACAGCCCACAAAGTGTCCATTACCAGTGCTGTAGGTGCAGGTTCCATAACTCACACTGGTGGTAGCTGCAGCCTGAAAAACATAAGGGTGGGAGACCATGTCCCTAAGCTTTGGTTCTCCCAATCTCCCACTTGAAGAGCACTTCAGCGGCATGTTGCAGGTATATACTGGCCAAGCTGGTGACAATGGGATTGTATGCAGAAAGAAACAATTCAGGGATATGATGACAGCCATGTATCCCTATACAGATCCTGTAGACATAAATACATGGGCTGGATTGCTTTTGTTGTTAGAGATGATCTTAACTAAGGTGAAAAAAATGAAAACAGTAACAAGGGTTGATGCAATTCCATGCTGCTTTGACAATCAGTGCCACAATAAAATTGTTATAAATAAAATGCCACAAATAGAGAGATGGTTATTTTATAAGAAGTTTTAACACAGTTTTGTAATCTCTTTGTAGTACCAGTTTTCAATATTTTATGAATAAATAGCCACTGTAATTTGTAGGGGATTGCTATTTTTGATGTTGGATTTACAAAACAGAGGTAACAGACATAATGCATAGTGACAAAGTAGTTTCTTTGATAGCGGATTGCCTCTGTTGCAGGTATCTTAACTTCCCAGAGCTGGATAAAGTTCTTGGTAGTGTTCCTAGCTTTTTAATAGTTTCTATATGGCTTCTGCCATTTTATGTGAAATACAGTAAATGGGTGAAAAATTAGGCAAATACCCACGGGAGGATCAAAATAATTTATACTACGCCACAGACATTTCAAGTCTCAGTCTCTGAGCAACCACTTGCTGAGCTGAGTAGCTCAAAATGGTAAAGTATACTCCATAAATCAGAAATCCAAGTCAGGGTTTCTGAAAAAACATTATTTTGCCAATTTTTTTTATTAAAAACAGTACAAAATATGTAGTTTAACGTAGGCCTTCTGCAGGCTTCAAGGAATTTGAGGATTTTGAGAAAACAAACTTTATTTAAATGAACAAGCAGTATATTTAGAAAGATATATAGTTATCAAGCTTTCTAATAACGCTAATGGAATTTATGCAAAATACTTTGTATAACCCAAGAATTTACCAGGTATCTGAAAATATATGACTATCAAAGTGTGATGTATTTGTTCTAGAGGAATATATGTTAATTGCATATGCATGTGGAGTTAGCGATCACCAGAGTCAAAGAATGGACAGGCCTGGAAATCAAAATCTCCCCTTTATCTATGGAATGGATATACACCATATTGCTATATAATATTATATTTCACACTGAGTCTCCAGGCCATTATCTCTAGGAATGAGGGAGACTGTGTGCTGCCCCACATCTCAAACTCTGATGAAGCAGCAAATTAGTGCCAGATAAGGTGTTGGCTTTTTTATGATGTGGATGCATCTGGTAGAAATGAAGTCTACAAATTAGCCTTTGCTTAAACCAGTGAATAATTATTACGGGGTAAGAATTTTAATTAATTATTCTGGACTTCTACATTTTTTGGTAAATAGCACATAGCAATAAAGTTTCTTCTGTTATCAAATACAGATACTATGTCTTGTGATTTAAGTGCTGGCTTGTTTGCAGGTATTTGTTTGACTGATAGAAAACGTGAGCTTTTACCCCGCAATTGCAAGATAGAAAGGAAATTATGTTTATTCTGTTTAGTTTTACGCAGTGTGGCTTGTGTCTGCCAATAACTAACAATCCAGCTACAAGCATCTAAGAGGACGGGTACGAAATGATAAAGTCAGGAATGTGATTCAAGTACCATTTAGGATGGAAAATCTAGAATTTTAAAATGCTTTGTGGTTCCAACGGTAATGCTGCTTTCATTACTACTGTACCTCAAATTAGCAGAAAGAAAAGCTTCTGAAGTTAAGATTACCCATAGGATTTGTAAATCAGATTGATGGAAGTAATTGGTAAACTGCTTAATCAAGCCTTGCTTAGAGGTGAATAAGGACCGCAGGATAGAAAATGTAGGCTGTATAAGTAACCCAACAAGTCAGTAGAGTTCTTTTTTCTGAAAGAAACAAAGATAGCAGTAATTAATGACCCTGACTCTGTGCCAATAAAGCTTTCTTCTGACAACTCCAACTTAATTAAAACTTAAGACATTTCAATGGTCTCAGAAAGCCCCTGATGGGGTGAACTCTTGCAAACTCGTGAGAAAATTTTGTAAATTAAAGGAAAAGATGTGTGTTACCACTGGTGCCATGACTCTAATCCCTGGCAGTCAAAGAATCTATTTAGCCAAAGCCTTTTCTTTTAACTGGCTCACACCTGCAGGCTTACTGGCACTT